TCGAGTAGGGGAAACAAGACATAATGGGAGCTTGAGCCCATATAAATAGACATAGATTCTTTTAATCCCTCAGTGAATCCTCCAGAACTCTGAGAGAAGATGAAGACTTTTTCAATGAACCAAGCTCGTTGGTGAAAGTGGGCATTGGGAGAAAGGTCTTTATACCCTTGTCCAGGCCTGGCTTTGCTGGTAAGGAATGATCAGGCTGGATTCATGGTCCCTCGGTCCCAACCTGTTGCTGGCAAATATCATGTCACTTAAGTAAGTGCATTGTTGTCACTCTACCCTTGTAACTGGATGCATAAGGTCTTTGAATATCTCAGTGGCTGTCCTCCTTAAATCTTGAAATGACAACTTTTGTTCTACAGGCCAGTGCAATGGGTTTCATGTATCCATCCATCTCTTGGTACAAGACAGCCTCCCAACTCTCCATGCTGCCATCTGTTCACAAGACAGAAGCTAAGTTTGGCTCAGGAGAGGACAACCCTGTCACATGAGTGAAGAAGGTGACCTCTTCATTTCATTCTTCTGACTTTCTTCAAGTTCCAGCTGAAATCCCACATTCTGTAAGAAGCCTTTCCTGATCTCTCTTCAATCTAGTGCCTTCTCTTGATAATCATTTCCAATTTGTCCTTTATTTAGATTGTTTGTACACAGCAATTTGCATGGCATCTCTCCATTCAGGCTATGACCTCCTTGAAGTAAGGGGTTATCTTTTCCCTTGCTTCATATAGCCAATTCTTAGCACACAGCTTGACACATAGCCAGTGTTTAACAAATTTTTTTTGACTCATTGACTGACTTTCCCTGTGCCATGAGAAAAGAAAATCAATCAATTAATAAACTTTTATTAAGGGCTTAATGTGTTCCAGGGGCTGTGCTTAAGTCTGCAAAAATAATTTCATTTAGTATATTCTAGTTGATTGCCTAGCAGACAGTGCCAAGAGGGATTGGCATACAATGAAGGGAAAAGACCCTGAGAGCCCACAGTGCCTCAGGAGTGTGTTATTTTGGCCACATATTCCCGCCTTATGTTTCTCTCTCCTAGTGTACTAACACAGCTGGGCCCAGTCTTCACACTGATGCTGTGTATACATGTAGGATAGTTTCTTCCAGGTTTATGGGGTGAGACAAATGATTATTAATAACCAATGATTTGGGAGATCCAGTCTCCCCTCCCCATTTTCTATAGTCCTCATTTTAAAGTTCAGTCTCTTGAAAGACATTACAGATAGGGAGATTGGATTAACTTCCTTACCAGTCTTGTTCAGATTCCACTCACATGGGGAAAACCATTGTGCTCTACTCAGGTTTGGGTGGGGATAAATTCTTTGAATAGATTGCTTAAGGTTGGGCAACTTAGAAGTAAATGACATAATCAAAGTTCATTAGAATAGGTTCAGCCCCTCATTGTAATATTCATTCTCTCATTAATTGTTAAGCAATTAGAGTTAATTGACAACCTCTGGAATACTCACCTTCCCAAGAGCATATAAGCCATGAGCTGTTCACCACGATTGTCATTGGCATGAGAGTGCCACTGACCTTTTGTTAAAAATGCTGGCATTATTAATAAAATGACTACTCACCCAGAATTTATGCCTCTCAAACCTTTTAAATGTCACAGGGAAAATTCTTTTTCCCTCAGACATGCCCCTTGAATAAATGCCTTTGTTTCAAGCTACTCATGTCCTCTGGCTGACTATTGAAGATAAATAAATTGTTGAATGCTGGAGCCCCATAATTTCAAGTGTGTGGAACTGCACAGGACTATTAACCTTTTGTAGTTGTATCCCAGGGGTCCCAAATTGTTAGGTCCATTGGAAACTGGGGAGATTGATGAACTTAATGATAATAACAACAAAAATAATTAGCATTTACACAGTATAAGTGTTTGCTTCTTACTTGCTTACTGGTCCAACTCCTTTCTCACAGTCACCAACCAGGTTCCAGGTCATTTTTTTTTCTTTCCCAAGGAGTTAAGTACCTTCCTCACAGATTTGCTCTCTACACAAGCCCCTATTCTCACCACTGGTAATTTCAGTGTACACAATCAATTAATGAGATATGAGGATGGATGCCACTCATGGTACAGGGGCATCCAGTGTGAAGGGGCTATGTTAAGACATTGAAGTGCCCAATAGGAAGAACAGCAAGAAGGTTGAGCTTGGCTAGATCATAATAGGAAGGGAGAAACGTGTAATGACATTGAAAAGAAAGACTGGAACAAAATCGTGAAAGACTTTGATAAAATGAACAAACAAAAGAAAACAAGTTGGTCCAGAAGTGTTTGGCTCAAATCCAAACCTCTTCTGTCAGCAAATCTCAGGGACCCAAAAGCTAGAGGAAGGATTCTGTTGTCTGTTCCATTGGCTCCAACCAAGGGAGTGGGGTCTTCTCTTAGGCTATAGCTTTAAGAACCTTCATCTTCCTTTGGCTTTCACCCACTTCTGTGCACTGGAACCTAGCACTAAGCATAATTAGCCAGAAGTGGGCTTAATCAATGGACATGTTGGCATTTCCAGATCACAATTAAGTAACATTGCTGGCTTCCTGGGAGATCATTAGAGCTACCAGTGTTGTCTTCAGGAATAGAAATTCCTCACTATACACCCTCCTGGATTTCCCTCCTTTTCTTTGTTGTTCTCACCTTTCACCCTAGGAAATAGACATTGAGTTGAATTTTGAGAATGCTATTAATATTTCTTTTTTATTGTCTTTCTTTTTGTTGCTATTTTCATCTTATATTGTCATACTATTCACATAAGATCCATCTGAGTCACTATCTCATTAATACCCCTTCACATTTAATTCTGTTGAGGACATAATGGCTTCTTTTTGTAATTGAAGAAGAGACTGGGACATCAAACCATCTCACATAGATTCAGGAAAGCATGCTTGAGACCAATTCAGACCATAATATGACTGAAATGGCATGTAACTCATTTGATCTCTACACAGTTTCTTTTTTATACTAGTTTTTCTTTTTCTTTGATTTTTATAAAATAATTTTGTTGATATTTTCTATTTCTTACATCACCATACTATCTCATGTACATTAATGCACAATGGAGTTGTGAATTAGTCATTTGTCTCAGTTCTTTCTTATATGGCCCACTCTTATATGGCCTAATCAATGTGCTGGTGCCAAAAATGATTATATTCAGATAAAGCAATTGCAGTTCATGAACATAGACTACCTCTGAATACTACAAGATCAGTAGATCATTCCTTGGAGACACAGCCAACCATTCTGGAACACAATTAGAAACTACGACCAAAGGACTACAAAACTGTGTACATCCTCTGTCTCAGAATAATTGCTACTATATAATTGTCCAAACAGATAAAATAAAAAGAAAAGAGGAATCATATGTAATAAACTATCTATAGAAGTTCCTTTTCCAGTGGTAAAGAATTGGAAATGGAGAGGATGTTCATTTATTGGGAAATGGTTAAACCAGTCAAGGTATAGGAATATAAAGGAATGCTATTGTGCTACAAGAAATGATGAAGGGAATGACTTCACACAAAAATCTGGGAAGTCTTATATTAACTCATGCAAAGTGAAGTGAGATGAATCAGGAGTACAATGTACACAGTAGCTGCAATATTGTAAGGATAATCGACTTTGAAAGACTTAACAACTCTGATCAATGCAATAATTCACCACAATTCCAAAGGACTTAAAATGAAAAAGCCTATCCACCTCCAATTAAAGAAGGGATCAATTCTGAATGAAGACTGAAGCATATTTTTTCTCTTAGTTTTGCACATAGCTAATGGAAAATACTTTTTTCCATGACTTCACATTTATAATGAGTATCATATTTCTTCCTTTGTCAATGGATGGAGGAATAGTGGAATGAGGAAGGGAATTTGGAACTGCAAATAAAAATAAGATTTAAAAATACAAGTAATCAATGTGCTGGTGCCAAAAATGATTATATTCAGATAAAGCAATTGCAGTTCTTGAACATAAGGGTGGAACACTTGTGGATGGCCAAGGACAATGTCTCTTTTTACAGATGAGGTGGAATTGAGGAATAAATACTGTGAACTGAGGAACTGGGATGTTAGGTCATTGGAGGGAACATCAGTAGTTATGTTGAAAACAAATTGGATTAGAGCAAGAATTGAAATGCAGAGAAAAACTGTGAGTCAGGCACTGTATTCAGTTATGAAGGAGGGTAAAATTTCAAGATGGGTACTGCATTATATAATAGCCAGGAAAATCTGGATTGGTTGTATGATTTTGGATAATATGAGAGAGAGAGAGAGAGAGAGAGAGAGAGAGAGAGAGAGAGAGAGAGAGAGAGAGAGAGAGAGATGTGGAATGATGGATTTTAATAGAGAACCTAGAAGCAGCAATGAGGGTGCAAACAATATTCTGAAACCTCCACTCCAAGAAATAAATTAAGTGATGGGGACATGACAGAAAATGTAGCTGGTACTGGAAAGTCTGATGAATGAAGGAGTTTTATTAGGAGAGAGGTAGGTCTCAGTGAATGCTGGAACAAAAAAGGAGAAAGAAGGAAGGATTATGATGAAAGGAAGAATTTTTATTATGTAGTAGGCATTCCTAAGAACACAGCAGAAGGGAGGATGAAATATTTGGTAGGAGTTTTGAGGTAGATGGGAATGAGGAAGGAGAAACATGATAGTGAAGGGGGTATTATTGGGAGCCTGGGAGCTCAGTATAACTGGGATTGTTCAAATGAAAAAGGGTGATGGTGTCCAAAACATTTTTTTATTTGTCTAGACAGCACATCATTGAAAAGCAAGATGTCTTACAAAGGAGACAGGTGATTAGAAATATCACTATCTTTCCTCAATCCTGACTTTATGATAAATTATGTTTCCAAATCTTGAGAAAGCTCAGGAATCTAATCTCATGGCAGGTACAAATGTGCAGAAGTATAGAGTGGAATTCTGCAATCCTGGACAGGAAGCAAGAGGTGGAATGTGTCAGGGTCCCTGCCATATTGATATACTTATTCTTAAAATTGATTATGACTCTGGTGGAAATTAACAGGCAATGATGCAGAATGATTCCTGCCCCTGTGATCTGCTTTATTCTTTATACTTTCCTGAGTGTTTCTGTCTGGCCTAAGCAGAATGATATAACATTTGGGAATAAAGATGCAGCTCAGTAACCCAGCACTGGATGCCAGGATGGAGAAGATTTCCACAGTAACCGTGGCCTTGCCCTTCTTGCTCTGGTATGTGGGGAGGAAGAAGACCCACACACTGCAGAACACCAACATGCTGGATGTGATGAACTTGGCTTCATTGAAGGTGTCAGGAAGGTTCCTGGCCAGGAAAGCCACTGTGAAGCTACATAGTGATAGGAATCCCAAGTAGCCCAGGACAGAGTAGAAGGCAAAGTCAGAGCCCTCATTGCACCCAATGATGATCTGACCTGGTTCAGAGTGGGTATCTCTGTCTGGGAAAGGGGGAGAGATTCCCAACCAGATGCCACAGAGAATCACTTGAATCCCAGAACAGATAACGACAATAGAGTTGGACGCTCTGGATTGCACCCACATTCTACCCCTGCTGCCTGGTGTTGTAAACCTGAAAGCCAAGACTACCATAGTGGTTTTGGCCAAAATGGAAGATACGGCTACTGTGAACACAATCCCAAAGGTCGTTTGTCTAAGGAGGCAGGTGGCTGAAGTAGGATGGCCAATGAAGAACAAGGAGCAAAGGAAATAGAAGTTGAGGGAGATGAGGAGAGCATAGCTGAGAGCCTGGTTGTTGGCTTTCACTATGGCTGTGTCTTGAAACATCACAAATATACAGAGAACCAGAGATGTCATTAGAGAAAAAGAAAGAGCTACACAGATTAGAGCCATCCCTAAAGGTTCTAAAAAATTCAGGAAAGTCACAACCTTGGGGAGGCATATATTTCTTTCCTTATTTGGATACTCATCTTCTGGGCACTTCACACAATGCTTCATGTCTGCAAGGGACAAACAACTTCTTAGGATGTTAGATACAGCAAATTATCCCCATCCCCATGCACAGAAAACAGGAACAACTGTTCAAGGTAATATTTCTTACTTCACAAGGCATTGTATTTTTTCTTTTTTGGAAGATGGCAAGTGATAAGCAATCTAGCATCCATTCCAGGCTCAATCTAATTAAAATTATTTTTTAAAGTTGATTTTATTTGCTCAATAGTCAGCATTTCTAACAGAATACAAACTTTTTTTATGAATCTATTGTCATAGCACAATGAACAAAGAAACTGGATTACTTTGATACTATTCTCTCCATCTTTTCTTAATCCATTATGTTGTAGCAATAACTGTAGTTTTAGATAATCTGAGAAGTTTGCTAGATATTAAGCAGTAAATCAACAAGCTATTAACTGCCTACTGTGAACCAGGTGATTGAGTTTCAAAGACAGAGAATGAAGCAATACACATTTATACAGGACTTTCATTCTAATCGTCTAGTGGTACAACTTGCCTCTTTAATAGTCTTTATGGGGATGTCCAGCAAATTTATAGACTTCCATACTGTCTGTGTAAGTGTGATGTTCACATGAATAAATTGGTCAGATCATCCCCCCTCACTAAATTAAGTCATAACATGCTATCCTGATTCCTTCATCTGGTGATTATACACCTGAACTACTTACTAGGTGTAAGCATTGAATGGACACATCTCTAGAGGTGACAGGTAATTGTCTTGGTATAGTTGAGGGGCTTGACATCATTTTTAAGAGCTTGTACAATTCCAGGAAGCTAGTTGGCATAGAAAATACTAGTTGTTTTTAGTGGAGATAGGAGACACTATTTAAGACAAACTTCAGAGATGTAATGCATTGGTTGGGCAACAGTAGAATGCTAAGATTCAGCCTTGTTCACAGGCCAGTTCTATCACCTTTGGCCCAGGGAGCTTTGTTTGCTGTGAAAAATCAGGACTTGGATTTTTTTTCTCAGGCATGCTTTTATCACCAGAATAATGACTAACTGCAGGGTGTGCATTTGAAGTAAAGTAAAAACCAAATGCAGGGAGGAGAGGAGGTTCATACCTCTTCAAAAAGCATAGAAGAAAAAAAAAACTAGTATAACTAATAACAGATCTTTAGAACTCTAGTAAAAGGATTTGCAGGTGTTATGAACCCCCTCCCCCCCACTACACAGACACACTCCTTGTTTCATTTGCTCTCAGAGTTTGAACTCATTTCTTCCTGTACTGTCTATATACACATGGGGCCTTACTTTGATGGTAGGGAAAGGGTTGCATCTATGAATGCTCTTGTGAGTGAAGAGAAATGGTTTATGAAGGGAGATGTACACTGAGTATGGCTGGGGAAGGGATTTGGTGCTTGAAAAGTCTAGGAGAAGTGGGGGCAACTTACAACTTGTAGAATTGAGAGACTGGAAATGGGGAAAAGATTTCAATGTGAACATGGGTGGGAACCTTACCGGAAGAGAGTATAGAGTATAGACCAGTGGTGGGCTGCATAATCAGGGATATGGAGGGTGCAGGACCTTACCATAGGGTAGAGCCTTCTCTGATACCTGCAATAGTTCGGATTGTTCTAGGTGTGAAACATAATGGAAAGGGGGACTACAATGGGCAAGTCCTACAAGGCAGTGGCAGAAACTGCCTAAGGGAGAGCATAAAATGGATACCTTGGAAGCTTTGATTACAAGAACAATGCCATGAAGAGAAGAAAGAGAAACTATATCATTATAGGGGCCATGCATGACAGAATGAAAGTCTAGAGTATATAGAAAGACAGGATGTATAATGAAGAAAGTAAGAGAAAGTCTTTTTGGAAAGGGATAAAAAAAGATGATGTTTTAAAAAAAACTGATGAACAAGACTAGCTGAAGGTGGTATCTACTTGACTGAGAGGAAAAAAATGTAAGGAGGAGAATTATATCACAATACAAAAATAGGAGAAAAAAGGAACCAATAGAGAAAACCCCATAGAAAAAAGGGGTAACAAACAATAAAAGGAGGTATAGGTTGGGAAGAGGCTCATTAAGAACAGGGTTTAAGAAATGATTAAGGTAAAGTAATTGAAGGATCATAATACTGTACTTACAACAGAAGAAAGAAAAAATATACCTTGAAAAAAGCCTCAATTTTAGAGCTGGAAGAAAATATAAACCTAATTCTCATAACTTTTAATGTGAATGGAATAAACAATCCAATTAAATGAAAAAGAGTGAAAAAGTGGGTTTGAAAACAAAACCCTACAATCTGTTCCTTATAAGACATTTAAAAAAACAGAACCAGGCATAAAAGGTCAGCCATAAATATTTTTACCTTTATCTCTACTTTCTTCTTACCAGTAGTGTCTTTGTGGTTTATGACTACTATTGGAATCACTGGGTAAAATGCTATGCACACTTTAGTCCATTTTTAATAATTTAAAATTTATTTCAAAAGTGGCAATACTGATTCGTAGCTGGTGTCAATGATATACTAGTGTGCCACTCCTTTCATAGTCCAATCAGTTGCTTATTTCATTTTTCTCTGAGTTTACTTTCATCTCTTCTGTATATATTGTGTATTTATCTGTTACATTGCCTTTCCCTCATAATATAACTTCCTTGACTACAGAGACTGTTTTTCCTTGCTTTATATCTACAGTATTTAGTACAATGACTGGAATGTAGTAACCTCTGGGTGAATGTTAATTATCTCACTGATGGACATGTCTGCTACAAAGTTGGTCCTTCCATCCAAAGCCTCTGGACTTGCCCATATCATTGCCATATTGTTTTGTATGATGTAGATAGCTATTTCTTTTTTTCTTTTTGTTAATTAATTTATTTTTAGTTTTCAACATTCACTTCTACAAGATTTTGAGTTCCACATTTTCTCCACACCCCACCCCAAGATGCTATGCATTCTGAACACCCATTTCCCCAATCTGCTCTCTCTCCTATCACTCCTCTCTTCTCTTATTCCCTTCACCTTCTATTTTCCTGTAGGGCAGGATAGATTTCTATCTATATTGCCTATATCTTATTTCCCAATTGCGTGTAAAAGCAATTTTTAACATTTGTTTTTAAAACTTTGGGTTCCAAATTCTCTCCTTGCCTCCCTCCTCACCCATCCTTATTGAGAAGGCAAGCAACTCTATATAGGTTATACTATATTATATATTTGTGTAGTCATGCAAAACACTTCCATAATAGTCATGTTGTGAAAAACTAACTATATTTCCCTTCATCCTATCCTGCCCCCCCATTTATTCTATTCTCTCCTTTGACCCTGTTCCTCCTCCAAAGTGTTTGCTTCTGCTTACCCCCTCCCCCAATCTGTCCTCCCTTCCATCATTTCCCCTCTCTTATCAACTTCCCCCCTATTTTCTTGTAGGGTAAGATAGATTTCCATACCCAATTGAGTGTGAAGCCAAATCTGATGACAGTAAGATTCACTCATTCCTTCTCACCTCCCCTCCACTTCTCCTCCACTGTAAAAGTTTTTTCTTGTCTGTTTTATGTGAGATAATTTACCCCATCCTACCTTTCCCTTTCTCCTTTTCCCAGTACATTCCTCTCTCACCCATTAATTTTATTTTTCAGATGCCATCCCTTCAAATTGAACTCACCCTGTGTGCTCTCTCTCTCTCTCTGACTCTCTGTCTCTCTCTGTCTCTGTCTCTCTTTCTCTCTCTCTATATATACATACATATATATGGGAAATACATAGGATATATGTACATATATATATATACATATATACATATACACACACCCTCTTACTACTGTAATGATAAGAAAGGTCTCATGAGTTACAAATATCATCTTTCCATGTTGGAATGTAAACAGTTCAGCTTTAATCAGTTACTTATGAGTTCTCTTTCCTCTTTAGCTTTTCATACTTCTCTTGAGTCTTATATTTGAAAGTCAATTTTTCTATTTAGCTCTGGCTTCTCAAGAATACATTAAATTCCTCAACATCATTGAATATGTTTTCTTCCCTTCATTGATTACACTCAGTTTTACTGGGTAGGTAATTCTTGGTTGTAATCCTAGCTCCTTTGACATCCAGAATATCATTTTCTAAGCCCTCAGATCCCTTAATGTAGAAGACGATAAATCTTGTGTTATCCTGATTGTGTTTCCACAATACTTCAACTGTTTCTTTCTGGTTGCTTGTAATATTTTCTCCTTGACTTGGGAATTCTGGAATTTGGCTATAATATTCCTGGGAGTTTTCTGTTAGAGATCTCTTTCAGGAGGTGATTGGTGGATTCTTTCAATTCCTATTTTACCCTCTGGTTCAAGAATATCAGGGCAGTTTTCTTTAATAATTTCTTGAAAGATGATGTCCAGGTTCCTAATTTTTGATCAGGATTTTCAGGTAGTCCAGCAATTTTTAAGTTATCTCTCCTGGATCTATTTTCCAGGTCAGTTGTTTTTCCAATCAGATATTTCACGTTGTTTTCTATTTTTTCATTCTTTTGGTTTTGTTTTATAATTTCTTGATTTCTCATAGACTCTTTAGCTTCCATTTGCTCCCTTTTAATTTTTAAGGAATTATTTTCTGCAGTGAGCTTTTGGACTTCCTTTTCTATTTGGCCAATTCTGCTTTTTAAGGCATTCTTCTCCTCATTGGCTTTTTCTTTTTTCTTTTCTTTTCTTTTTTTTTTATTTGGCTAGGCAGTGGAGTTAAGTGACTTGCTCAGAGTCACACAACTAGTAAGTGTCATGTCTCATTGGCTTTTTGGACCTCTTTTGCCATTTGGGTTAGTCTATTTTTTCAGGTGTCATTTTCTTCAGTATTTTTGGGTCTCCTTTAGCAAGCTGTTGACTTGTTTCTTCATAATTTTCTTGCATCACTCTCATTTCTCTTCCCAATTTTTCCTCAATTTCTCATACTTGCTTTTCAAAATCCTTTTTGAGCTCTTCCATGGCCTGGGCCAATTCATATTTTTCTTGGAGGCTTTAGATGTAAGAGCTTTGACTTTGTTGTCTTCTTCTGGTTGTATGTTTTGATCTTCTTTGTCACCAAAGTAAGATTCTATAGTTGATTTTTCTTTTGCACTGATTGATCACGTTCCTTATCAATTACTTGACTTTTAAACTATTTGTTAAGAGAGGGCTCTGCTTCCAGTGTGGAGGATGTATTGTTCCAAGCTTCAGGGATTTTGTGCAGCTGTTTTCAGAGATACTTCTAGGGACCTGTAAAGTTTCAGTTCTTCTAAGGTGATATGACCAAAGGCGATGCGTTTACTCCTTTCCTGGCCTGTGCTCTGGTCTATGAGTGACCACAAGCACTCTTTTCTGCCTTGGAACTGTGAGGATTCCCTCTCCACTGCCACCACAAACTTCATCACACCAGCACTCCTCCTTGACCCAGGACTGTGACCCAGATCCAAGCATGGGCAAAGCAAGAGAATCCTGCCTCCAGACCAGCAAAGAGATCCTTGCAATCCTCCTTGGATCAGCGACTTGATACCCCTACCATCTGTAAGCCAAGAGCTCTAGAAGCAGCTGCCACCTCAGGACTGTGCCAGGATTGGGGCAGGGCTGTGTTCCTCTCTCACTGAAGTCCAACAGAACTTTTCAACTGACCTTTTAAGTTGTCTTTGGCATTTGTGGGTTGAGAAGTCTGGAAACTGTTAGAGCTGCTAGTGATTCAGTCCCCTGGGGCTTACTCCGGGTTCACTAAGATCTTGTCTTTGACTGCACAACCCACGCTTAACTGTGCTACTCTCCCAGCCTGTGGCAACAGATCTTTCCCATCAACCATCCAGGTTGTCTTAGGCTGAAAATTTGTTTCACTGTGTCTTTTTGTGGGTTCTGCTGCCTAGAATTTATTTAGAGCTATTTTAACAGGTATTTGGAGGGGTTTGGGGGACAGCTCAAGCAAGTCACTGCTTTTACTCCACCATCCTGCTTCTGCCCCCATAGATAGGTATTTCAACATAGCAAAAGGATGAGTGGTTTAGGCCTAATGCAACCTAGGTGCCAAGTCCTGAGGCACATTCCAAAGCATCACCAATCTCCTTTCATTCACTTCCATGTCCTGAGAAGGTTCTGTTTTAGTGCCCAAATGCACCTCTATAACTGAGGAATAGATATCTCCTATTCCCCCCCTCCAAACCTGATATTTGCCTCTGGGATAACTGGTATCTTCCCTTGTTCCATTTTGTTCTATGCCATCACTCTCTCATATCCTTGAGTACCAACAGCAAGGTAGAACTTCTTCCTCTTTGTGACTGAATTAAAAAGTAGAGAAGAAATTGCAATTGCTTTTAGCAATACTTTAGAATTACTGAAAGTGTCCTTACTCCAATCTTCTCACTTGCTTAAGAAAAATTTCCTCATCTGTACATTAACCAGGTGGTTTATTCATTACCTGCTGCAGAGGATGCTAGCAACTCTAAAATAATCTGATTCTGTAATCCAGTAACCACCTTTGGAAGTTTAGTAGTGTGAAGTTATTTATGCATGGAGATAAAGAATGATTCCAATATGTTATCTTTCACTTATTGTTTACATTTTTTATGTCCTAAGTGTTTTTTTTTTTTTACTTTTGGAGTGTGATTCTAAAGGGTTACCCTAGTAGAGTTCATAAAAAATGACTCAAATAACCCAACTCACATTGATTCTGAAAAGAAGGGCAAGGTCTCCTCTGACAGAATCCTTAGAGGGAATATATAGACATTTAGTTGGTGATATACTTCCCTTTAGAGATGACTTATCCAAATATCACTTCAAAATGTGGCAAGAGATAGGGGTGGCAGAACATCCAGAATAGAGCATGGGTACCCATTTCTTTTGGGAACAATTCCTCAAAACCTACATTAGTCTAAAGTTTTCTGGTAAATGTTGAACCCAAGATGTACATAAATTCAGCTCTGCAGTATCACAAATATTTTGCAGATTGTATACTCTTCCACATTCCAGCTAACTAACCCAATGAACTTGATACCATCACAAGACTGTGCAAATATGTTTTACAAACAAATGGGAAAGATAGTTACTTTTTTATTTTTTGATTACATTTTAAATAGTTAAGTGATATTAGACACCATATTCTAAACATTGATTCAAGTCACTTGTCCTTAGCTCAGAACTTTTTCCTAACTTATCTTGTTCCCATATATCCTAATTTTTAGGCAGTGATGGAGTTGTATGTGACCCTATAACAAAACACCTGTTCATTTTGTCCAGTGGGTGTAGGAGGAAAACTACCTGCAGACACTTACTCATCTGATTGGAGATCTCCCCCTCAGGACACAGAGAACAGCTGAATCAGCAGGTGGGCTGTCCCTCCAGTAGGGTTTGCCTGAATCCAGGACCACAGCTCTCACTGCAGGTGGCACAGGGAATCTAGTGACAAGGGAGTAAAATGCATGATGGTTCTGGAACTTAACAAGACAGAGGATGGTATATCATTATCAGAGAGTGAATGCTATTGATTTGAGGCAAAGAAAGTTATTCTGTAAGAGAAATATGAGAATTGTTCATACATCAATGGAATATGGCTAGAAGGAGCACAGGACTGGGCTAAAAACAGAGAACTGGATGCTACTCCCATTTCTGCCACTAGCTGTGAAAAACTGGCTGAACCTTTTACACTTTGTGGACTTTAATCAAACAATATGCTATCTCAGGGTCCTTATTTATCTAACACTTTGTGAGTCTGTGTCAGCTATGTCTTTTGAATGGTTATGATACAAGTTATTGAAGGAAATATATGATTGACTTGAAATATATTTAATCAGTCTGGGTGTAGGATGCAGGACACAGATAACTCAAAGATGAGACTGATTTCACTGTTCATTTTAATGGAAAAGGGGAATTCCACAGTCCTGTAGAAAAACAACTTGTTGGATTCAGAAACACAGTGAGTTTCAGAAATTAGATGTCAAACTCATTACTTGGCTTCATATAGCTATAGACCTTGGATGATTTAATATGACTTTTTCACTGAATTAAGATGAATGGTTGGGTGTCATCATTCACAAAAATGCCAGCTAGTTGACAAAAATGCTGTCCTTGGGAGCAGAGGATATTGGGTCAATCACTGCCTTTATATGTCTCAGTTTCTGACTTCTGTCAGATGACATAGCTGTGCAAGATGAGCTTTAAAGTCCATTTCACCTCTATCTCCAATGGTGTTATAAATCTCAAGTTTAAAATCACCTGACAGATTGCTTATTTGACTTTTTCACCTAGAAGTTTGCTGCAAAGGGAAAATAAATCAGGGTCCAGGGAGGATTTTCTACCCATAAAAAGGGATGTGAAGTGAACTATGCAGGGTAAAATTTGTTCCCCTGATTAGATAATCATTGATATTACAATTGTTTCTGACCTCAGTATATGTCCAGCTCCACACTATGGCCTCCTCATTAATGGTAAAATCTTGGCCAGGCTCAGCATTGGGGATAAACCATCTGACTTTCACCAGAGCTTCAGCATCCTCATTGAAGGTTACATAGTTCAGGATATTATATTGAGCCTCAGGGTTTCTATTCTCATCCATAAAAACCTGGTCACCAGCACTGTTGTTAAATTGGATATTCTTTATAAAGGAGTGGAGCTATAAGAGAAGAGAAATCTCAATCACTATCTGGTGCCTGAGGTCAGTAATCCCTTAGAAGGAAGATCTATGAGTTGTTCAGAATTCAGTCCATAATCTACTAGATTTTATTAAGTACTTATTACATGTTGGGCTCTGTGAGAAGAAATAAAGGTGCAAGGGAAGATAATATCAGTCACTGCTCTCAAGGATCTTAAATTCCAGTTGGAGAGAAAAGATGCAGATAAATAAAAATGTGTCTAGTCCCTATAAGCTTTGTCCAACTCCCATGCTTATGTATGTGTCAGATTCCTGAAGAAGGTTACATCTTTCCCTCAAGCTTTCAGGCATGTTGCTGAAGGGTTCATGTTTTCTCTCTTTGTTGCCATCAGTTTAAGCCTCTCCCTGATTCTATCATGCTCTCCCAAAAGATAGTCATTAGCGATTAGTGCCCCATTCTGTGTAACTTATTAACATCAGTTAACTTTTACGAAAGGATACTTATTTCAAAGTTACAAATTGCTGTTACAAAGCATTTCCCCCTGAAATAGGTGTGGTTTTTACATTATGCATCTATCACTTCAATCCCTAGAAGAAGAGCATTCATACTTAAAACATTTGCATCCTATTTACAATGGCACTGTTCTGTTCTGCTGCCTTGGAAATTCTTCCCCTTCTCAGTTTGACATATCTTGCTCTTAAAACTGCAATCAAATTACCATTACTATTGCCTCTTTTAAAAATTGTTTTATTAATTTATTTTGATTTATCAATAATCACTTCCATATGCTTTTGAGTTTAAAATTTTTCTCCCCCTTCCTCCCCACCACCCTCCCCAAGATGGCACACAATCTGATATAGGCTATAAATTTACATTCATATTAAACATATTTTCACATTAGTGATGTTGTAAGTAGAAATTAAAATCAATAGGAGGAACCATCAGAAAGAGGAAACAAAACTCAATAGAAGAGAAAAAAAATAACAATTCAGCTTCCATAGTTACTTCTTTAGGTGTGGATAGCATTTTCCATCACAAGGCCTCTGGAGATGTCTTAGATCCTTGTATTGCCAGGAAGGGTTAAGTTTATTAATATTAGTCATCACACGACGTGGCTGTTATTGTGTACAACGTTCTCCTGGTTCTGCTCACTTCACTCAGCATCACACCATAAAAGTCTTTCCAGGTTTTGCTGAAGTCATCCTGTTCATCATTCCTTATAGCACAATAGTATTCCATCACATTCATATACCACAGATTGCTCGGCCATTCCTCAATTGATGGGCATCCTCTCAATTTCCAATTCTGTGCCACCACAAAAAGAGCTGCTATTAATATTTTTGTACATGTAGGTCCTTTTCCCATTTGTGTGATCTTTTGGGGATATAACCCTAGAAGTGCTATTGCTGGGTCAAAGGGTATGCAAATTTTTATAGCCCTTTGGGCATAGCTCCAAATTGCTCTCCAAAATAATTGGATCATTTCACAACTCCACCAACAATGCATTAGTGTTCCAATTTTCCCACATCTTCTCCAACATTTATCATTTTCCTGTTTTGTCATGTTGGCCATTCTGATAGGTGTGATGTAGTACCTCAGAGCTGTTTTGATTTGCATTTCTCTAATCACACTATTGCCTCTTAAAAAAGTCTGGTCAATGGGGCAGCTAGGTGATGCAGTGGATAGAGCACCAGCCCTGGATTCAGGAGGACCTGAGTTCAAATCCAGCCTCAGACACATAACACTTACTAGCTGTGTGACCCCGGGCAAGTCACTTAACCTCATTGCCTAGCCAAAACAAAAAAAAGCTGGTCAAAGCACTGCCCTATTGCTCTACTCAACACTCCTGTGACTTCTCAGAACAAAAGGGCTTACTTGACTTCTGATTGCACCCTGACCACAGTGACCTTCCCAAGGTGCTGCCTCATATTAGTTCCTAATTAGCTCCTAAGTCAGTTCCCTTCCTTCAGTACAAACCCTTTCTTTGAACCCATCAAACTGCAGATGTCACTTAACGATCACAATAGCCAGATGCATCTGTTATTTAGAAAAAGACACTTGTTAGTCTAACAAAGTAACTCTAATTCTGGACTTTCAGTCACAAGGTTATTGTCGGGGAGGTAAGACCTTTTGGCAATATTTAGGTCATTCTCCAAAGTCATCTTCATCCCTCCATAATAAAGATTTTATTGTCTCTATCCATACACAAATTCAAATGATATATTATGACACTGTATGGAGACTTCAGACCCAATGTTAATTTCTTCCAAATTACCTGGGCTAATTCTGATAAAAATTATTTTATATTTTCCTGAATTATCCAGATAAAATTCTGACTTAAATGTCATTCTTCTCAAATATGGGCAAATAATATTGCTGGTGGTGGAGCAAAAACCTTGTATTTCTTCATTTCTGTGATATTTGTGCAGGTATTGCTTATCTAAGGTCTCTAGATTCAATCTGCTCCAGATGCTTTTGTTGTTACATTTTATTTTGGGAATTTCTTGGAATGAGAGAGTTTCTGATTAGATTCCATTTTCTGGTTTCTAGAACATGATAGGGGATAGTCTCATTTTGTTCTACTCTACTTGGACCAGTCCTGAGTCAGCACCTTCTGTCTATAGCAGTGTGATATAGTGGACAAAGTGCTTAGTATAAAATCAGGAAGCTCTGAAGTCCCATCTCAAACACTAACTAGCTCTATCACCCTGGGAAACCTTTTCCACCTTTTTCAGCCTCAGTTACCTCATTGATAAGATCAAGGTAATAGTAGGAACTAACTCTTATGGTTCTTGTGATGATGAAATGAAATAATGCATTGGAAGTGCTTTGCACTTCTTGACATACACATATTCTGGCCATTATAATTACTCTGACTCATAGAGTTTAGTGAGGGAATAGCAAGCTAGAGGTTGTCCAGATGAGGACAACCATCACTGTGAGGCCTATTTAAACCTTGGAATACAAGAGTGATTTTGATAGAACTGGGGATGATTATTCTAGGAAGAGAAGGCTTAGAGGGGCCATGATGAACGTCGTTTTATGTACTGTTATGGCTTTCTTGTGGAAGAAGAATTGAATTTTTGTCTGACTACAGAGCACATAGTTAAGAACAAAAAAAAATGGAAGGTAAAGAGAAAGATTTGATTTGATTTGATGTAAGGAGCAGACTCCTAGCCATAGGAACTCTTCAATTTTATTAGTATTGTTTTTTTTTCTATTTTATGGAATAAAACCAGAATCTCCATAACAGTATAATAAAAAAGATTATTGCATATGAAACTACAAATCCATTATGTACAATTTGCTATTCCATCCATTCAAATGTATAATAAAGTTATCACATAAATTTGCCGTCCATTAGACTATCATTAACTACCATTAAACACAAATTGGTGTGTGTACACATGTATGTATGTGTGCATGTATATACATACATGTCTGTATGCATATATATGTGTATATACACGTGTGCTATGCAACATGTACATATATATGTATGCAGGTGTATACAAACACATGCACACATGCATATATGTGCCTATATATACATACACATACATGCACACATATATATTAAATAGGCATATATATGTAAAATTATTTTATACTACACCTATTTGTCAGCTATTTTTCTAGATGTGGATAGCTTTTTTCATACGCACTTTATAGATAATTTGGGTATTTGTAATGGTCAAAATGATTTACTCATTCAAAGCTGTTCTTAAAACAATATTGGTGCTGCTATATACAATGTTTTCTTCCTCCTACTTATTTCACTCTTCATTAATTTGTCTAAGTCTTTCCATGTTTTTCTGAGATCATTGAGCTCATAATTTCTTATAACATAGTAGTATTCCATCACAATTATATACCCCAACTTTTTCAGCCCTTCTCCATTGTTGTTCATTACTGCAGTTTCCAGTTCTTTGTCATGATAGTGAGAGCTGCTATGAACATTTTACAAAATACAGATTATTTTCCTTTCCCCCAATCATCTTTGGAAATAGACCAAGTAGTGTTGTTAGTGGGTCAAAGGGTATAAGAGTTTAATAACTTTGGGCATCATTCCAGATTGTCCTCCAAAATGGTTGGAAGTTCACAATTCTACCACAAACAAACAGAACTTGTCATTAAAGGAATGAGCTGAGAGCTGTTGGTCCCTGCCCCAGATCCCTTAGAGGCCATTGGACAATGACAAAAAGAAACTTTGTGGATATTCTGGCAGAAGAGATTCCTGTTCTCGTACTCATTGGTTTCAATAGTGCCTTCCCTTCTTGACCTCTCTATAACCTTTGGCACTGTCAAGCTACATTTCCCCCTTGATGTCTCTTCTTTCTAGGTTTTCATGACACTATTTTCTTCTGATTCTCCTCCTACCTTTCTGACTACACCTTCTCAGTTTACTTTGGATGATCTTCATCCAACTCATGCCCCACCAATCTTGAATATCCAAAGGGGCTCTATTCTGGACTCTCTTCTTCCACTATACTATTTCATTTGGTGATCTCATCAGCTCCCAGAGATTCAGCATATTAGCTCTATGTGGATGATCCAAAGACTACTTATCCAGCCCTAATCTCTTGGCTGACCTTCAGTCTTACATCTCCAATTGCCTAGCGGACATCTCGAACTGGATGTCTTGTCCAGGAAACATGAACAACTGGATGATGAACTAGATAATTTCTCTAATCACCATGACTTCTCCAACCTCTCCAAAACAGGAAAAAATGCATCAAGAATAAAACATTTTTAGCTATCGACAAGGTCTAGAAGAAGGTTAAAAATCAGTGTTTGAACTTCACTGACCTGAGCTCACTCAACACCCCTCCCATACTACTAGCATTGAGGAAATACTAGCAGAACAGGGAACGATGCAGGCTTCCATAAAAACCCACCTTTAAACCTTAATCCCCCTCCCTCATTCCAGTTCTGTGGAGACTCTTGCTCCAGACTGTGGAAGTTTGCTTGGGCCTCAACAGCTAGCTTGGCCATAGCTCTTCAGGAGCAAAAACCTGTCAGTGGCTGCAATATAAAAGCACCAGTGCTGCAAAGATCTGAACTAGTGGTGCTGGGGAAAATAGTTTTTGAAATCCTGGTGTCAGGCTTGAGAACTGAGGAATAGCATGAATGGGCCATGTAATCAGGATACAACATTGCGAATGTAGAGGGCTTGCAGCACTTCTCCAAGACTGAAATAAAACACAGCACCTGATTGGTGCCAGTTCTGATCTCTTAAAAGTCACTGGGGCAGAGACATATGCTGGTAATTCATGGATTTCTCAGTGTGGGAGGACATTGAAATGCTTTGTGATCCAATCCACAAAGAACCCACAATGAGAGGGAAGGGAGTCAGAATATGAGTGATAAAGGATAGGGGGGAACCTGAAAGTACTAAATATTTTAGAAAGAAGAACATTCAAAGACCTTGAAGATAATGAGATAAATCAACAGGAAACACAATAACAGCAGAAGGAAATCTGTACAACTCTCAGGTACAACCTAATAATGATCAGATTGACTAGCATGAAAGAAAATGCGAATAACAAATGCTGGAGGGAACTGGGAAAATATGGAAGCTAATGCACTGTTGTTGGATTTGTGAACTGATACAACTATCCTGGAGAACAATTTGGAGCTATTCCCACCGGGCAATAAAACTGCACATATCCCATGACCCAGCAATACCAGTACTAGGTTTGTATCACAAAGATATCAACAAAAAAGGAAAAGGACATATACATATAAAAATAGTTATAGCAATTCTTATTGTTGTGTGAAAGAAATGGAAATGGAGAGGGTGTCCACCAATTGGGGAATGTCTCAACATGTAGTTTGCAAGTATGATAGAAGATAATTGTGCTGTAAGAAATGGCAAAGTGTATGGCTTCAGAAAAACTTGGAGAGACTTACGTGAACTCATGCAAAGTGAAGTGAACAAAACTGGGAGAATATTGTACACGATAACAGCAATACTGTGATGATGATCAACTATGAAAAACTTAGCTACCTTGAGCAGTACAACAAACCAAGGCAATTCCAAAGGACACATGATGAAAACTACTACTCACCTCCAGAGAGGGAAGTGATGAGTTCTGGTTGCTAATTGAATTATACTTTTTTTTTGAAAAAATATTTTATTTTTCTTGCTTTTTTCACCAACGTGGCTAATACATAAATATGTATTGCATGACTTCACAAGTATAATTGTTATCAAATTTCTTGTTTTCTCAATGTGTGGGAGAGGGTCTGGAGGAAGGGAGAGAATTTGGAACTCAAAATTAAAAAAAAAGAATGTTAAAAATAAAAAAATGTAAAAACAATGTGTGTAATAAAAAAATGGAAAGATTTATGTGAACAGATACAGAGTGAAATAAGCAGAGCAATGAAAACAATATGCACAGTAATTACAACAATACAAATAAAAAGAACAGTGAATCCCCCTTAAAAGGAAAAGTAAATATAATAAAATAATAAAGATCAAACAGGATGAAGAGATATGAGAAGACACCCCCAACCTACTCCTTCATGGATGTGGAAGGTCCACTGGTGGTACACATTACGATGACTTTTGGACTTTTAAAAATCATCAATCAGTTGTGCTGATTTATTTTTCCTTGCTAAAAATAATTCTATTTGTCACATACATGGATTTTGGGGAGGGATTTGAGAGGGAGTTATGGGATACTATAATGATATAAGAAAGAGAAAATTTAACAAATTATTTAAAATAACGGGTTGTCTTGTAGACATCTTAAATTCCACATGTCCAAAACTGAGGTCATTATCTTCTTCCTCCCTCCAACCTTCCCTTCCTTATAACTTCCCTATTACTATAGAGGCTCTACTATACTTTCAGTCACCCGGGCCCCCAACTTAGGTATCACCCTTGACTTCTCATTCTCTTTCACTCACCCATATCCAATCTGTTGCCAGATTCTGTTGATTTTACATTTATAACAATTCTAATATTTGCCATCTTCTCTCCTCTGAAATTTTAACCACCTTGTTTCAGGACCTCATCACTTCAAGTCTGAATTACTGCAATAGTGACATGGTTGATCTGCCTACCACAAGTCTCTCCCCACTACAGTTCTTTCTCCACTCAGCTGTCAAAGTGATATTCTGAAATCTCAAATTTGACTTTATCACTGATAAATTCCAGTGACTACAATCCCCAGCACACAGTGACATCAGCCTCTGCTTTTTGGTTCAATGTCCCTATAACCTGTCTCCTACCTTTCCAGAAAATATTATGGGATCCAGTAATACTGGTGTCATTGCTGCTCTCCAAACAAAACGCTCCATCTGTTGGCTTCAGGCATTCTGGTTATCTTTCATGCCTGAGACGCCCCCTCCATCCAAGCACCCTAAATTACTTAGTTTCTTTCAAGTTTCAGCTAAAACCCCATATTAGATAGAATGCTCTTGAAAATTTTATTGCCTTCCCTCTGTTGATTAGTTCCAGTTTAGGTTTCATATATCTTGCTTATGGACATTTGTTCGCATGTTATGTCCTCCATTAGATTACACTACTTGAGATGAGAAACTGTCTTTTACCTTTCTTTGTATCCCCAGCCCTTAAGACAGTGCCTGACACATAGTAGGTGTGTCTTAATAAATCTTTGTTGACTGACTGCCAACTCAAATACACTCTGGGAAGATCCTAAGCCATGCATTTCTTGGTCAGGTTGTCATTGCTTGGCAGTGGAAAACACACAACTTTAAAGAAATATTACCTGCCATGGATGAGGCATCCAGCTTTCTTCCTCTACCATGGATCTATCTTTTGATTTTATCAAGAACATTTCATGAAGGGTCCAAGCCACAGCATAGACACTGTTTTAGATGGTGTAACTCAAGTCGGACATGGTCATGTCAAAGTAAAGCAAAGGCAAAGTCTCCAAGGAGGCATTTGGTGAACATTTCTCTTGCTTCAGTTTTTCAGGTTCATCTGTACATCTGAATGTTGAGCACCAAAATTCTTTCAGTACAATGTCCTCTGAGTATTTAGCAGGGTTCACTGTCCTGAAAAAAAGGCTTAAGATCTGGAACATCACTTGTTAGGTGAGAAAATGTTAGTGCTCCATGGAAATAATAACCATCAACATATCTTGGTCTCATGGTAATGTCCCAGTGAGAGGTGATGACCCACACCTTCAAATGTGAGAGAAGAGGAACTTGTGAATACCTCAAGATCATTAATGAATTTGTGTCACCATGAACAAAAATCACTTTGGATGCTGACACTGTGATCCTAGGAATGAATGTCATCTCTGATTCTGAGTATCTTTTCTCACTGACAAGGGTCTTCTCTGTGAAGGACACACACACACACACACCATTATTTGCCATCTCCAATGTCATTTCCCAAAGGAAATCTTCACCTCTCAGATCATCCACTGTCACCAAAGCTACCCATGTCCACTCAAAATGAGTCAACAGTCTGACCAGACCTTTATGTAGGGAACAGTCCCTGGGGGCCATCTGGTAAAAGGAAGGAAACTGAGCCTTGTCACTCAGGATGGGATCAAATGGCCCAAAGGTGATCTGGATGTGAAAGAAACATGGGAAAATCTGAGATCTAAGAATATGGTCATGATGAATATGTAAATGTGGGATTGAACCCAATCAAACCCATTGTAGATTTGGTAGTTTAGGTGAGACTATTTCTCAATTAGTCAAAGATCTTAGGCTAACTGTGAGGCATCTTTGAAGTCATTGATTGAAATGAGATGAAGCTAAACAGGAAAACTCTTTCAAAAGTATGAAAAACTTGTCCATGACTCTAGACATCATCTGAAAATTATCGGTGGCACTGTAATATAACCTGTTATTTCATTACCCAAACATTTTCAGTAAGCTCTATTTTTCCTCAACCAAAAAGAGGCCACGAATTTTCTAGAGACAAATAGAAATGTAATGTTAGGCAATTTTCTTATAAATATTAGTATTATTTTTATGAACTGGGGACCTCTTGTGATTGTAACTGAATTAATTATAGTTGTCTTCAATAAACTCCCCAAAACTGAAGAGAAAGGAACCTCTTAAATGCACAGTTATATAGTCTAATTATTGTAAGGATGTAAAAATTAGCATTATACAAGTATACTTTCTCACCATGTCATCCTTTCTTTGTTAGGAGAAATACTGTGGATTTCAAAATACATTGTTACCAAAGACATTTTATTTTCTCCAAATCTTTATATTTACCCATATCTCTGAGCCATTTTATTTTATTTTTTTCATTTCTTGCTTTTTTTCCATTTATTTATTTATTTTTGACGTGTGTTTTTAAAACTTTGGGTTACAAATTTTCTCCCTTCTTCCTTCCCCACCCACCCTCATTGAAAAGGCAAGCAACTTGATACAGGTTATAGATATGTAGTCATGCAAACACTTTCATAGTAGTCATGTTGTGAAAAACTAAGTATATTTTCCTTCATTCTATCTTACCCCCCATTTATTCTCTTCTCTCTTTTGACCCTGTCCCTCATCATAAGTGTTTGTTTCTGATTATCCCCTCTCCCAATCTGCCTTCCCCTCTATCATCCTCCTGCTTTCTTGTCCCCTTCCCCCCTTATTTTCCTGTAGGGTAAGATAGATTTCCATACCCAATTGTGTATGTTATTCCCACCTTAAGCCAAATCCTATAAGAATAAGATTCACTCATTCCCTCTCACCTTCCCCCATTTCCTCTCCAATGTAAAAGCCTTTTCTTGTCTGTTTCATGTGAGATAATTCACCCCATTCTACCTCTCCCTTTCTCCTTCTCCCAGTACAATCCTCTCTCACCCCTTAATTTTATTTTCCAGATATTACCCCTTCATCTTCAACTCACCCTGTACCCTCTATCTATCTATCTATCTATCTATCTATCTATCTATCTATCTATCT